ATGTCTTTCCGGACCGTAGTGTCTACAATAAGAGTACGTTTTGGGTGCTTGCTTTTCCGGACCGCTGCAGGTCTTTCCGGACCACAATGTCTACAATTAGAGTACGTTTTGGGTGCTTGCTTTTCCGGACCGCTGCACGTCTTTCCGGACCGCGATATCTACAATTAGAGTACTTTTTTTGGTGCTTGCTGTTCCGGACCGCTGCAGGTCTTTCCGGACCACAATGACTACAATTAGAGTACGTTTTGGGTGCTTGCTTTTCCGGACCGCTGCAGGTCTTTCCGGACCGTAATGTCTACAATTAGAGTACGTTTTGGATGCTTGCTTTTCCGGACCGCTGCATGTCTTTCCGGACCACAATGGCTACAATTAGAGTACTTTTTGAGTGCTTGCTTTTCCGGACCGTTGCACGTCTTTCCGGACCGCATGTGTTTCAAGTACAATCTGTTTTGAGTCCCTTCTTTTGGATGTCTTAAGAACTAGGTAGCCCCATAACCGGCCCCAAAAGAGGTCTGAAACCAGTTCGACACATCTTCCTGCTCACCGTCTCAAGACTTCTTCTTTCTCTCTGTCTCTTTCTCCCTTCTCTTCTTTCTTTTCCCGTTCTTTCCTGTTTTTTCTCCAAAGCTGAGGTAGCCTACGGACAAAAAGAGGTCTGAAACCACTCTGAAACACCCCGCTGCTCACCATTTACAACGCTCTCTCTCTTTCCTCTCCCTCTTCCTCTCTCTGTCTCTCTCTCTCTCTCTCTCTCTCGCCTTCTGTTTGTCTCCATCTTCCATCTTCCTCTCTCCCTCTCTCTCTCTCTCTATCTCTCTCTCTCTCTCTCTTTCCCTCTTCCTCTCTCTGTCTCTCTCTCTCTCTCTTTCTCTACCTTTTCTCTTTCTTTTTTCATCTCCCAAAGCTGGGGGTACCCAAAAAACGAGCCCAAAAGAGGTCTGAAACCACTCTGAAACACCTTCCTGCTCACCATCTCCGGGCTGCTGCTGCATGTCTTCCGGACCGCGTTGGCTGCTTTATCTCTATCTATCTATCTATCTATCTATTTATCTATCTATCTATCTATCTGCTCTTTAAATGTATTTCCTTGTATGTTGTGTTCAAGTCTTTTCTGTCTGTAAATTGTTCTTTTCATCAAGGTCAGCTAGACCCCCCGAAAGGGTCTGAAACCACTCTGAAACCGCTCTGAAACCACAGAAGTTCAACACGTGCAGAGCTACTTCCCAGTACTACTTCCCAGTACTACTGTGTACTACAAAGCTTGCACAAACCACTTCCCAGTACTACTGTGTACTACAAAGCTGGCACAAAGCACTTCCCAGTACTACTGTGTACTACAAAGCTTGCACAAGGCACTTCCCAGTACTACTGTGTACTACAAAGCTTGCACAAACCACTTCCCAGTACTACTGTGTACTACAAAGCTTGCACAAAGCACTTCCCAGTACTACTGTGTACTACAAAGCTTGCACAAACTACTTCCCAGTACTAATTTGCACTACAAAGCTTGCACAAACTACTTCCCAGTACTACTTTGTACTACATGGCTTGCACAAACTACTTCCCAGTACTACTGTGTACTACAAAGCTTGCACAAACTACTTCCCAGTACTACTTTGCACTACAAAGCTTGCACAAACCACTTCCCAGTACTACTTTGCACTACAAAGCTTGCACAAACTACTTCCCAGTACTACTTTGTACTACAAACTACTTCCCAGTACTACTGTGTACTACAAAGCTTGCACAAACTACTTCCCAGTACTACTTTGCACTACAAAGCTTGCACAAACCACTTCCCAGTACTACTGTGTACTACAACGCTTGCACAAAGCACTTGCAAACAATGCGAAGGTATGAATGCGACATGTCTCCGTTCTTGTCGTGTTCCTTTTGTTTCCCTAGCATTTCCTTGTATGTTGTGTTCAAGTCTTTTCTGTCTGTAAATTGTTCTTTTCATCAAGGTCAGCTAGACCCCCCGAAGAGGTCTGAAACCACTCTGAAACCGCTCTGAAACCACAGAAGTTCAACACGTGCAGAGCTACTTCCCAGTACTACTTCCCAGTACTACTGTGTACTGCAAAGCTTGCACAAACCACTTCCCAGTACTACTGTGTACTACAAAGCTGGCACAAAGCACTTCCCAGTACTACTGTGTACTACAAAGCTTGCACAAAGCACTTCCCAGTACTACTGTGTACTACAAAGCTTGCACAAAACACTTCCCAGTACTACTTTGTACTACAAAGCTTGCACAAAGCACTTCCCAGTACTACTTTGTACTACAAAGCTTGCACAAAGCACTTCCCAGTACTACTTTGTACTACAAAGCTTGCACAAACTACTTCCCAGTACTACTGTGTACTACAAAGCTTGCACAAACCACTTCCCAGTACTACTTTGTACTACAAAGCTTGCACAAACTACTTCCCAGTACTACTGTGTACTACAAAGCTTGCACAAACTACTTCCCAGTACTACTTTGCACTACAAAGCTTGCACAAACTACTTCCCAGCACTACTTTGTACTACAAAGCTTGCACAAAGCACTTCCCAGTACTACTTTTTACGACAAAGCTTGTACAAACTACTTCCCAGTACTACTTTGTACTACAAAGCTTGCACAAAGCACTTCCCAGTACTACTTTGTACTACAAAGCTTGCACAAACTACTTCCCAGTACTACTTTGTACTACAAAGCTTGCACAAACTACTTCCCAGTACTACTGTGTACTACAAAGCTTGCACAAACTACTTCCCAGTACGAAATACTAAGTGAATACTAAATATTTAACATTCGAAAACAAGTACGAGAATAATGATGAAAAACAACTGAAATGATGAAAGTGATCCGGGAGTGTGGTCGCGCAAGAAACGCGCAAGGTTGGCGCAAGCTCGGCCCAAGAGGCCTTTGTGGGAACAGTAATTTAGGACAACCCCCATATGCATAAAAAATGCACATAAATATACATATTTATATAATTTTATATATTTATATGAATACATATATGGTTTTTGGCAAAAAGTGAGCTCCCACTGTGTGAAGCGATAGGGAGCCTTGAGGAGCGATACCCCCTAAACTGATGACCATGGAATCAGTACCATGTTTTGACCGTCGCACATGTGTATATATATATATACATAAATATATGTTATTTTTTGGTTTGTCCCAATAATAGCGGAGGCAGTCCCGCAACGAATGGCAATTTGGACGGAAACTGATACTTTTTAATGTGAAAACCAAAAAATATTGGGCTAGGCGATTTCACCAGGTGAACTGACCCGTATCCAAGTTGACTCGTTGGAATGAAGCAAGAATGCACATATCTGTGGAAGTTTTTACAATTTTCATGTCATCACAGTCCAAGCTCTTGATGGAATATGGCATATGGCCGGAAAATGATGGAATATGATGGAATATCATGGAATAAACTGGCATATTTGTTTCCATTCCTTTCCAAGTTTCCATCCGCGGCAGGTTGATGGATGTCGCACCAAGAGACCTCAGCCAGATCGCCAACGCCATGGCCACCATCGGCCAAACGGAGGTTGGAAAATGTGGAGCTTTCCGAAATCATGGGGGGTACCCCCAGTGATCATCCAAGTCGTAAAAGACCGTGACTTAGTATAGGTTAACCATGGTGATGACTGGGGATCCCCCATGACTTAAGAAGCCCATATTGGCATGAAACTGAACTTTGATTGGGATTTCTCATTTCCAAACCGTTTGAATACTTGCAAGAATCATCGAAAAAAGAACATGGAAAAAACATGCCCAGTTTTCACAAAGAAAGGAAAGTCAGGAAAGTCCTAACATTTCCATACATTTCCCCAAAATAGATGGTTTATCCCATTATTTATAGGGTTTCAACCATCCAAGGTGTTGGAAAGGCCTTGTTATCTGACAGGAGCGCTTCTTCGCCTCCTTGGCTCGCGCGTCCGTGGCGCGCTGCGAACGCTTTGCGGTGGAGGAAAGTGACGGACTCTGTCTGGCAAGACTTGAAAGACAACGACAAAGCCAAAAATCAAGTATTCCTTGTTTTTGTTACCAATGCCTAAATGTGAGTGCATAGAGTGGCATTTGAACCGCTCGACAATTTTCAGCTAACTTCAAACATCTACAGCATCTTCAAGCATCTTCAACTCCTTTTTTTTGCTCAAAGAGCATGTTTCTGGTAGCTAATTCCATAGCGTTTCTTGGCAGAACACTTTTAATGCAAGACATGACTTACCGGTTGCCCTGGGCCTGGAAGTCATGTTAAGAGTGGGAGTTTTTTTGTCCCCAAGCTTTCCTTTTTTTTAAAGGACTTACTTGGGGCTGCATTTAAGGTTATTCTAAATGGGTACGTGATAATGATTATAGGGGTTATAACATGTTAAATCCCAACTTGAGGTTAAAATCCCAGAGTTACCCATGAAAGTCACCTCAACTGCATCTGTAAGTATGCTTTGTCTACCATTGTATCCCATATTAATCCCCCCATGAGAATCCCATATATGATGTACCTAAGACACCTTTGGATACCTTTGGTTTCGGGACGTATGTTCCACGTTCGGTCGACGGGTCCGAACGGTTTCAGGAGATGCTACTCTTGTGTTCGGCCTTCGACAAGGCGATCGCGGCAGATGTTGGATGAGGGTTAATAACCCAATAGATTATGACTAGTGATTAATAATGATCATAACTAATAATAATAAGAATAGTATATAACGATAACTGGTTAATTATATTAATTAATAACCCTCATAATTATAATAATTTAATCATTATTAATTAATAACTGGTTATTAAACATGAGTATAATTATCATGGTTAATGACAATGAGGGTTAATAACCTAATAGCAACTCAATGATTATGACTAATGATTAATAACTGGTTAGTGAAACAAGCATTAGACTTTTATATGGGAGATTGAACCACTTGAAATGGTGGGACTATATATATATGGGGCTTTTTTTGGACTTGGAAAAGGGGTTTTTGATGCGGAATATCATGGGATATATATATATACCCTCTGGTTATGACTAACATAGCCATGGTATAGATGGCCCATAGAAATAGATGTTTTTCCCAGCTAGAAACCTCCATTTATCAGGGATTTTCCATGGCTATGTTAGTCATAACCAGATGGTAATCAAAGATGGCAGGCTGGGAAATCAGCGAAAAATTATGGCTTCAATGGGAAATGATCACACATTCTTTCCATACAGGGAGATTTTCCGGCCAGCTACAGCTATGTTTGATTGCGGGAGGGTAAACGTGGCAAGAACACTGTGTCTTTCTTTGGCTTCAAAATTCTGGACATGTTGACCATGTATATCACTTATTTCCATGACTTCCCCAATGGTTTCCACATTGATGGGTGAAAACAAGTTCCAATCGCTACCCTGATGGATCGCAACTTCAGAACGTCGATGGCTTTCATGGGCTCTCGATGTGTTTCTGAGGCTGGCTTGGTGCATGTCCCCTTGCTGGAAGCATCTGCAAAGCTGCTTAGACATCAGGTCTCGCAGGCCGGGCAACTTCAAAGACATGGGTATGGGTCAACATGAATTCGACTCGACCCACCAACCCACAAGGCGAAAATGGATGGAACTTATACTTTTCCATTTTTGGGGGGGATCCTAACCCTCAATTTCTGAGGATTCCTGTGGTTTTTCCATGGTTTTTTGCCATGGGTTTTATCGCGAGCAACGGCAGGTCCCTGGTGCTGACCTTGCCAAAGGTTTGAAGAGTTTGGCCACCTGCTGTGCGACTTGATGGAAGAGGGGTAATCATCCCCATCCCTTCCTCATCCCTCCAACTTTCTGCTCCTGTTTCCCTTGGGGATGGAGATTGTGGGAGCGGAGACCGATCTTTTTGTTGGTGAGCCGCTCAGGCTTGGAATCCCACATTCTTGCTGGTAAAACCTCAGTTTTTTGGTCGTAGAGTCCGAAATCTTTTCATGATACTTTCTGGCAACGAAACAAGGCCACTGAAAAAAATCTCCATTTGTAATTAAATGGGTTTTTTTGATGTTTTTTCATTAAGGCCCGATTGCTGCCGAAGAGGCTTTTCAAGAATTGCCACGCTTGACGAAAGGGAAAGCAAGTGGGTCAAAGCCCCAGGTGAGAGATTTGGACCTCGGCAAGGCTGTGGGTGAATACCTGGCGGAAGGCCCCAAGGCCGGGAAGCTGCCCCAGGGCAATTTTTTGGGGCTGCTAGGGGCACCCAAAAGGCCCAAAAGATAGAAACATGTTAAATGTATCATATGATTTTACCTTTCAACGGACAATTTTTTAATCAGAGATGTTTCTTAGCAGCTTTTCGACACATACGGGAGTATTTCACCATCATTGGGGAGCAAACTGGCTACACAATCTGTGGTTTCCAGGTCTCAAAATTTGACCCATCACCAACATGGTCTCAGTCTACCCTCTGGTAAACTAACATAACTATGGAAAATCACCATTTTTCATGGGAAAATCCACTATAAATGGTCATTTTCAATAGCTATGTTAAATTACCAGAGGGTAATCCCATCTTTTGCTTGCTGAAGAAGACAATTCTTGGGTCGTGCATCAAGTTTGGGACAAAGCCACAACAGTTGATGAAAAGCGATGGATCTCCCGGCCATAGCAGAGAAGCCTCCGATTTTCTCCTAATAAAGCCTTCCGCCAGTTCGCGAACCAGCTACAACCATTGAAATCCATTGTTATCCCCACTTGAATCATGCCAAAACATAAAAGGACGCTTGTTACAACTGAGACAACTATCACAAGTGAAAAAAGACGGGGACAAGTGTGGGAGAGTACGCATAAAATGGTTGTGCCATAATTATGCATGACCTGGGACAACCAACATTATATTATATTATATTAGTCTATTATATTTTATATTATATTATATTATATTATATCATACTATATATTATATATTATATAGAATAATCTTATATATAATATGTTATATTATTATATATTATATATTATATTTTGTTTTATATTTTATATTACATATTCTATCATGTTTTATATTTTGCATTAGATATTATATATTATATGTTATATACTCTATTATTCATTATATTATTCATTATATTGTATTATATTATACTATATTATATAGTATATTATATATTAGATATTATTATTATGATGATGATGATGTATTATTATGATATATTATTATTGTATATCATTATTATGTATTATTATTATTTTGTATTATTTTGTATTATTTTGTATTATTATTATTATATATTATTATTATTATATATTATTATTGTTATTATTATTTTTATATATTATTATCATTATTATTATTATCATTATTACTATATATTATCATTATTACTATATATTATCATTATTACTATATATTATCATTATTACTATATGTTATTGTTATGTATTATTATTTCTATTATTATTATTGTTATATATATAATCCCAGGTACCTTGCTGCTTGTTTTGGAGGGGGGACCTACGAAAAAAAATATTTCAGTAATTTATGTATATATATATATATTTATATTTTTTAAATATATTTATATTATATTATATTATATTATAATATATTATATTCTAACATATATTTAGAAAATATAATAATATTTTCTGGGATAATCATCCGATTTGATGGGGCTTAATGGGGCTTATTTGATGTTGTGCGCCTGTCCGGCGCCCGCTGCAGGTTCCAGGGGATAGTGAACCTTGAAACATTTGGACATGCATTGACCCGGACACCACAAAACATCATAAAACTCCTACTTGGACATCATTGGACATCAAGAGGACCAACTTGGAATATGTTTTATTTTAATCTATTTTGCAATATTCTACATATGGCAAGTTGAGCCCTAAGATAGATCAATATATATATATACATATCAATATCGCTGAATCAAAAGGAACCAATGACATGCAACCTGTGACATGCAAAAGCCTGGAGAGCAGCCATGGGCTGGCTGGTGACGAAGAAGTGTAGCTGGAGCAGCACTCGCGTGGACTGCGGTTTGTGCTGCATTCAGCGCAAAGAGAGCAAGATCAGAGATTCTTTTCATGTCTTCATGTCTTCATGTCATTCTAATTCATTCTATGCTTGGAAGATTTTCCCAGAGATGTCCAAAATGGGCAGCCTCAGATGATCATGATGCATGGTTGCTGTCAGTCAGAGCACTGCCTCACAACCAGAATCCCGACACTATCAAAGCCTCTGCCACTGAGACTACTGGCTTCATCCCACGCATAAGAAGACCTCAGATTCGTGGGCATCTGCGAACAAGGTGGCGAAGAACTTGGGCCTGCCATTGCCGCCTTCTCGCGCTGATGTTGCATCTTGGATCACATGGTTTTCCACTTGAGCAGACGTGAGCAGGTAGGTCCAAACGTAAGCATTTTTTAGTTCATTGAAAATATGACAGGATGGGATCATAGGGCTACGTTAGAAGTACATGTACGGTAGAGGTACGGTAGAGGTACGGTAGAGTACCGTACCTCTACCGTACCTCTACCGTACCTTTACCGTACCTCTACCAGCACCTGCATCGTAGCTCTACAGTATACCCCTACAATATGCAGCATTATCAAGCATTATGAAGCAATGCTATGGGCCAAAGGGCTTGAAGTGTGGCGTTTGCAGTTCAGAAGTTGTGGCAGATATGGCAGGTACCCAAATCTATCCATAAATCAATCTAAAATATTATCAATCTACCCATATCCAAGCACTTGCTGGAGTCATATCGAATGACTGCTTCCGAAAAGAGTCTCCTGGCTTCACGGCTTCACCCCCAACTGCGGCGCAGGATGGAAGTGGAGTTTTGGAACCTCCAGAGTCCTTTGCTGAGGGACTCTTCATGCTGCAGTGACAAGATGTGATTAGATTGCGAATCGTTTTTGTCGCCGAACTTCTGAGTGTCTTCTGAGTGACAAGATGCTGCTGCTACTACTACTACCACCACCACCACCACGACTACTAAGTAGTAATAGTAGTACTAGTAGTAGCAATAGTAGCAGTAGCACATAATAGTAGTAGCAGTAGTAGTAGTAATAGTCGAAGTAGCAGTACTAGTAGTAGCAATAGTAGCAGTAGCACATAATAGTAGTAGTAGTAGTAGTACTACTACTACTAGTAGTAGTAGTAGTACTCATGCAAGTACTAACTACTACTGCTGCTACTACTACTGCTACTACTACAGCTCGTACTGCTTTTTTGCGTTCTGCTACGGGTAGTACCTCTTTAAATTCGGTCACAGGAAGAAGTATGTTTATTTCTGTACCGTTTTGTTTTTGCATGCACCTGCGTGCAATCCCACCAACCTGCAGCTTTGCGCATTTGACAGGTGGCTAGTGGTGCAATGGCGGACCCCGCTATGATCTCATCGGACGTTGCCTGGTTGCAGATTGTGGATGGCGACATCGCCCATGGAAGACACATGTGAACGCAGTGAAACACCAGGCAAGATGACCAGGTTTTCGACTTGCATTCTTATGTGTAGTATTCGCATTTCTTCCCAGCCCTCAACATAATTCAACATATGTGTACTTGCATTTTGTGAGCACTGAGGCTTCAATGCTGGAAGACATGGCCCTCATGGCACCAGTGGACTCCCAGGCAAGGCTCCGTTCGCCAGTGCTCAACGAAAGGTAGAGTTGGGTGAAGGGAGGTGAGATACAGCAGCCATTTTTTCAGCGGGTTGGCAAGGCTGCTTCCGTATGTAAGCCTTTAGTAAACTGACAACAGAGTCCACGGCCGTACATGGCCGTACGACAGCTGAAGTGCCATACAGAAGAAAGGTTTGGAACGCTCCCAGCAAGAAATAGGCAACACCATATTCCACTACCGGAATGGAAGCCCCAAAACTGAAACCCAGACAGTCACCATGGCACAAGAACCACAAGGAGCACAAAACATCACAAAACTAGCATCATGGCCCCACCATGATTTGAACCCTGGTTGTTTTACCATGATTTACCCCTCCCCCCCCACAATGTGACTTTGGGAAAGGATGGGAAGGGGATGGAGTTCCCCGCGCTTATGGGTGCCGTCCGTAAGAACGGGTAATTGTTTGGTAGAGCGGGTGGAGCCAATTTTAAAGGGAAATCTATACATACGGCTGCCCTACCCGCGGCAGTGAACGCTTACCCGCGCTTATGGGTGCCGTCCATAAGAGCGGGTAATCCTGGCGTATGTTAGTGTACTTTAGTTGGTATACAGTTGGATGGACAGATCTGGCACCCCAAAAGTATACCAACTAAAGTACACTAACATACGCCAGGATTACCCGCTCTTATGGACGGCACCCATAAGCGCGGGTAAGCGTTCACTGCCGCGGGTAGGGCAGCCGTATGTATAGATTTCCCTTTAAAATTGGCTCCACCCGCTCTACCAAACAATTACCCGTTCTTACGGACGGCACCCATAAGCGCGGGGAACTCCATCCCCTTCCCATCCTTTCCCAAAGTCACATTGTGGGGGGGGAGGGGTAAATCATGGTAAAACAACCAGGGTTCAAATCATGGTGGGGCCATGATGCTAGTTTTGTGATGTTTTGTGCTCCTTGTGGTTCTTGTGCCATGGTGACTGTCTGGGTTTCAGTTTTGGGGCTTCCATTCCGGTAGTGGAATATGGTGTTGCCTATTTCTTGCTGGGAGCGTTCCAAACCTTTCTCTGTATGGCACTTCAGCTGTCGTACGGCCATGTACGGCTGTGGACTGTGTTGTCAGTTTACTAAAGGCTTACATAATACGGACGCAGCCTTGCCAACCCGCTGAAAAAATGGCTGCTGTGTCTCACCTCCCTTCACTCAACTCTACCTTTCGTTCATCCCTGGTTGCCCTCAAGTTTCCTGGGGTCTTTGGTCACGCTAAGGTGCAACATCACACGTGAGGATTCCAACAGTGTGGGTACATGTGATCACACAATAAATCACAATATCACATTGGTTGGCCAGCCTTGGAAACGTTAAACGCCGCCAGCAGCCATCCAGGTGGATGCGTCTGAGTACCGGGCCTTTGCAGAGCATGTGCACGTGATGGATGTGAATGGTCCTCCAGCTGAGGGCTACTATAAGTGGCTGAAGGAACTCGTTCTTGATCAGGCCAATTCCTCCGAAGCTGAAGTCATTCGCCTGGACCAAGTGACTTGTGACCTTTCTCCTGGTGACGGACGGTGGCGTTGGGTCACACGAGAAACGATCCTGCACAAGTTCGAGCTATGGTCGGCTGGTGGGGCAAACTGGGGACCAACAATCCAGCTCTGTGGATCAGCCCCTTATAGCATTTGCATTGGGCACCAGAGGATTGGGAGCCTCCACTGCTACATGCAATGGTGTTTCTTGGCGAAACATGGCGAAACCATATCCACCCAACGTGATGTGATTTTGGAATATTGACGGTCGCTTCGCGACGAAAACCGCCCGCACCAAGTGTAATGGATAACATTCACATATGTTGGAGGATGTTTGGCCATATTGAACGTTCTTTTAGCACTTATTGGGCACTTTTTAGCTCCGTATGAGGCTATCTTGGCCCCATATGAGGATATGTTGGCCCCAATTTGAGGCTATGTTGCCCCCATGTGAGCCTATCTTGGGCTCATGTTGGGCCTATGTTGAGCCTATCTTGACCCATTTTTGGCCTATATTGGCCCAGATCAAGAATTTTGACATCTTTTGAAAAACATGCAAAAACACAGGGTTCTAGAGCAAAAATGCCACCCCCCCCAAGCTAAAGCTTATTAGCTATAATGCAAGTGCTAACGGTTCACGCAGGCACACAAAAAACGTCTCGGCACCTTCGGTGCGGGCGGATTTTGGATGATTTTGACATGTACCACTGAGCAAGGCTTCTGTTCAGCCAGACATGAAATGATGCTGTTTCTAGATGTTTCTAGTCTAGTTTATATGACATGGGCGTGTCAGGCTACTTGACTCAGCGCACCACTGCAGATTGGGCGAAAACCATGGCCAAGGCAATCCCTTGCAAGCTGGAGTCTTTGCAGCCAAAGCAGGCAGCAATGAGAGGCCTCAAGGAGAGTGTGCAGACTCAGGCAGGCTGGAATCCCTACTCTTCGGTGACCATGCAGCGACCAAAAAGGAAGTCAAGGCATTGATGCCACAGCATGCAAGCAACACAGCCTCTTGGCCACAAGTATCTGAAGGGATACCACATGATACGACATCACACCACATCCCGTGTCATCCGGTATGACAAAATCGTGACTTCATGATCTGCAGAAATTGGTTAACCCAGGCTGAAGTAAGATGATGTAAGCTCCAAACATAAGATTTTGCACCAACGAATTCATGTGATCATGTGTGCATTAGCAATGGAACCGACGCTGGAAAGACATCCCAAAGTCATTCAAAAAAGCTTGCAGCTTTTGATTCTTATTGGCAATGGATTGCCTTTGCTCATTGCATCTCATTGCTGAGACGTTGAAGCCTGTTGAAATACAATGAAACGCATCGCCAAGGAGCTTTTTCCCTGGGACGTTCTGTGCCACTTTGCACGCAATCGAGTGTTCGATGATGTACTCCGTATCCCTGCTCCTGGCACCCAGCTTGCCCAACAGGCAGCTTCCTGGACCAGATGCTTCACAGCAACGTGTGAAGGCGTTTGCGGCAGATGTTGGCAGCGCTGCCTTGCCCTTGTTGCGACTGACTGCATAGGGCCATGTTTTTCTATGTTTTTCTCAGTCATTCTCATTCATCGAATAGCACCAGGGCAGCCAATGATGTGCCATGATACATCATATTACATCATGATATTTCCGAACAGCTCAGATGCACGATGACGCATGGCAGCTTATCGGTTTTTTAAATTTCCAAGATGGGCGTGGCAACAAGCTGCCCATGTGGGGACATTGTGGGGTCTCTTGGGGGGACTTCCGAAGAAGGAAAAAAGCTGAGCCAGATGAGACATGATCATGTCCCACTTGGGTGCAGGTCTTGAGTATTATGTCATGACTAATTCCTATCCCAAGTATGTTATTGTCAAATATTGTCAATGAATGATTAATATCAATTATGTAATACCTGGAAAATCAGTTTCGTTTACCAACAAGCCATGGCTTGGGGTGCTAGCTGTTCATTTTGGCTAGGGTTGAGTTTACTAGGCAGCTGTTGAAGCATGAGTTTCTATTACAGTTCATTGACATGTGAGCCATGAAACATACCTTGTTCATCCTTTTTACCATGGATTTCACTATAAGTTCTGGATGCCGGAAGAATGATTTAGAGGGGGGGGTCCTAGAAAAGAAATATTTTTTTTCACTAGGTCCCCCTAGCATAAAGATTGGGGATTATATATATATATCAAAATATATTATTCATTATCTTATTCGTTATATTATTCGTTATATTATTCATTATATTATTCATTACAGTATTCATCATATAATTCATTTTATTATTTATTATATTATTCATTATATAATTCACTATATTATTCATTATAGTATTCATTATACTACTCATTATATTATTTATTATATCATTCATTATATCATTCATTATATTACTTATTATATTATTCATTATGTTATATTGTAATATATTATTATTATTATATATTATTATTATATATCATTATATTTAATTAGTAGTCTTTTTTATTATATTATATTATAGTATATTATATTTTACTATATTATATTATATTATACTATATTATATGATAGTATACTATATTATATAATAGTATGCGATATTAAATTATTATTGTATCACATTATATTATATCACATTATATTATTCATTATATTATTCATTATACTAATCATTATATTATTCATTATATTTTTCATTCATTTTTTCATTATATTATTCATTATATTATCTAATATATTATTTATTATATTATTCATCATATTATATTGTATTGTATTATATAAAATTATATTTAATATTATATTCCATAGAATATATTACAGTGTATATATTATATATTATCTATTATCTATTATATATCATATTATATTATTCATTATATTATTCATTATATTATCCATTGTATTATTCATTATATATTTCATTGTATTATTCATTGTTATTTTCTATTCTATTGTATTATTATGTTATACTATATCATATTGTATTCTATTATGTTATGTCATGTTATATTACATTATATTCTATTATGTCATGTCATGTTATATTCTATTCTATTCTATTCTATTATATTATACTATATTATATTATATTCTGTTATGTTATGTCATGTTATATTATATTACATTATATTCTATTATGTCATGTCATGTTATATTCTATTCTATTCTATTATATTATATTATATTCTGTTATGTTATGTCATGTTATATTATATTACATTATATTCTATTATGTCATGTCATGTTATTCGATTCTATTATATTAATAGTACATTATATTCTGTTATGTTATGTCATTTAATATTATCTTACATTATTTCTTTATGTCATGTCAACTGTTATATTATATTCTATTCTTTATTCTATTCTATTATATTATATTCTGTTATGTTATGTCATGTTATATTATATTACATTATATTCTATTATGTCATGTCATGTTATATTATATTCTATTCTATTCTATTATATTATATTATATTCTGTTATGTTATGTCATCTTATATTATATTACATTATATTCTATTATGTCATGTCATGTTATATTATATTCTATTCTATTATATTATATTATATTCTGTTATGTTATGTCATGTTATATTATATTACATTATATTCTATTATGTCATGTCATGTTATATTATATTCTATTCTATTATATTATATTATATTCTGTTATGTTATGTCATGTTATATTATATTACATTATATTCTATTATGTCATGTCATGTTTTATTATATTCTATTCTATTCTATTATATTATATTATATTCTGTTATGTTATGTCATGTTATATTATATTACATTATATTCTATTATGTCATGTCATGTTATATTATATTCTATTATATTATATTATATTCTGTTATGTTATGTCATGTTATATTATATTACATTATATTCTATTATGTCATGTCATGTTATATTCTATTCTATTCTATTATATTATATTATATTCTGTTATGTTATGTCATGTTATATTATATTACATTATATTCTATTATGTCATGTCATGTTATATTATATTCTATTCTATTATATTATATTATATTCTGTTATGTTATGTCATGTTATATTATATTACATTATATTCTATTATGTCATGTCATGTTATATTCTATTCTATTATATTATATTATATTATATTCTGTTATGTTATGTCATGTTATATTATATTACATTATATTCTATTATGTCATGTCATGTTATATTATATTCTATTCTATTATATTATATTATATTCTGTTATGTTATGTCATGTTATATTATATTACATTATATTCTATTATGTCATGTCATGTTATATTCTATTCTATTCTATTATATTATATTCTGTTATGTTATGTCATGTTATATTATATTACATTATATTCTATTATGTCATGTCATGTTATATTATATTCTATTCTATTATATTATATTATATTCTGTTATGTTATGTCATGTTATATTATATTACATTATATTCTATTATGTCATGTCATGTTATATTATATTCTATTCTATTATATTATATTATATTCTGTTATGTTATGTCATGTTATATTATATTACATTATATTCTATTATGTCATGTCATGTTTTATTATATTCTATTCTATTCTATTATATTATATTATATTCTGTTATGTTATGTCATGTTATATTATATTACATTATATTCTATTATGTCATGTCATGTTATATTATATTCTATTATATTATATTATATTCTGTTATGTTATGTCATGTTATATTATATTACATTATATTCTATTATGTCATGTCATGTTATATTCTATTCTATTCTATTATATTATATTATATTCTGTTATGTTATGTCATGTTATATTATATTACATTATATTCTATTATGTCATGTCATGTTATATTCTATTCTATTCTATTATATTCTGTTATGTTATGTCCTGTTATATATATTACTTATATTCTATTATTCATGTCTGTTATATTGCTTATTCTATTCAATTATATTATATTAAATATATATTCCTGTTATGTTATTCATGTTATCTTATAATACTATTTTCTAGTCTTCTGTCATGTTAATATTAAATTCTATTCTATTATAATTATATATAATTTTTTTTACTTATATTCTGTGTTGTTATGTCATGTTATTTATATTAACATTATATTCTATTAGTCATGTTCATGTATTTATTATTCTATGTTTATTATATTAATTATATCCTTTTTGTAATCATATTACATATTACCATATAATTTATCATGCAGGGTGCAGGGCATGATCACTTTGTGATTAGGTTTACTATCATGTTATATAATGGGGATAGTAAATATAAAAAAAAAAAGAGAATACTCCACATAGGAACATAAGTAATGGAGCAGTCGTTCAGCGGCAATCAATAGGTGCGAAGAATCTACTCACAGGAGGGGCAATTCCTCCGGGGCCAGGAGAGGTGCCAAAAGTAATGGATACGCAGGGGAAGGAAAAGGCTTCGTAGCTGTGAGAGGAGCTGGAGCAGGAGGAGCAGAGAGCAACATCGGGGAAAATATAAAGGCCAACATTCAAGGACGACGCGGTGAGGGAGGGGATGGGAGCAATCTCCAACACATCAAGTCTCATCTGAGTCATATGGGGGATGGTCGGAAGACTCACCCTTATTAGGACTCATTGAGGTGGAGGCGATTTTTTGTGAACTCCTTGGATTGGGATGAATTGGTGAACAAGGCAGAGAGTATCAATATCCATTCGGGTGAGAGGGGGTGTTTTGCGCTGGTCCTTATCGTTGCGAATTACCTTTAGCTTATGTGCAGACAGTGAATAGATGGTCTGTATCATTTTTTCAGCCCCCGGACGCTGACGGGACTTCACTATTCTGCTCCTCTAATCATATAAAATTATATTAAATCCCATTATATTATATCCCAATCCAGCGATTTCATCAGCTGAAAAGCGCAACTCGCGGACAGGGTGGCCTGACATCAGAGGAATTCTGTTCACTTGCCTGGACGTGCAACGCTCAAGTTGTGGGATGTTCAACAAAGTCCATCAGTTGTGGGTCAGAACTGGGTATGGATCAGGTGTGGTTCATGCCTGTTCCCAGTTGATAGTATCCTCCACATACTTGGGTGGTTGATGCAAAAAATGACAAAACGATGGTTGTCATTTCACAGGGAAGATTATGATTTGCCAGCAAATTTTGTATGGAACCCCCGGAAAGCTAGAAAAGTACTGCGAACTATTCAACCAAGGGCAAATTACTGTGTGGCGTGTCAAACCTTTTTGGGGATTACTCTTTTTATTCCAACAGCACTATAGCAACCCCCAAAGAGATACAGACGTTGCACACCTGGAAATGATGGAGACGACATCATCGAATGAAAAATATCCTGGAGACACTTTCGGCATCTTTTGACGGACCCCTATATGGGGGTTTTCAGAAATGGGGAGACCCCAAAATGGATGGTGTATAATGTAAAATCTCATCAAAATGGATGATTTTGGGGTACACCTATTTCAGGAAGCCACCATATTTCTATGAAAGTTGGATTGACTACTGCCGGATGGTCATGAATCGAGTATTGTAATACGGCTCGATATACACCCATTATGTTTGGATTCCCAGTATGGGATGGACGACCACACCACATATACTCACCATTGCACACATGAGCAACTCATGAATGCTTTACAAAGGTAGATACATCAAACTAGTTAACGGGGTTTGTAAACCAACAACCATAACCATTGATTTTATTAGGAACATCGGCAGTATACATCCATTTCTATTGCTGATCTCCCCAGCTTACGGGGTTCTTAGCCAGCCATCACGACACGTCGCCAGCCACATCCAGCCACATCCAGCCGCATCCTGGGTGCGATGTGATGACCTGAGGTTTGTAACCTTGGGCTTCTACCATGATCAGATGTTTCGGGCTGTTTTCAAGGCGCTAGAGGCGCCGTGCCAGCTTTTTAAAGGTCCCACCGATCTTTAAAGAAGCGTTAAAAAGCGTTCCAGCAATAATTAGTCTAAAAACACTTTTTCATGGGCCATCTGAGGTTGGCATTTTTTTCCTTCACAAGTGGCCGTGGTTTTGCCATATGTTCGCGTTCAGGACGCTCCGAGCATGCCGGGCGACACGCTGTGGGATAGCCCAAGGGAGGTTTTGGATGGTTTTGGCTACACATTATGGTGATTTCGCCCATGAAGATCCAATTCAAACTGGGTCTAAATGAGGGTTGATAGGGTTGGAAGATTTTCCAAAATCGATCCATTCTCAGGGTCTATTGGTCCATTGTTCTATGTGAAAATTGGGGGATGGTAACACCAAGAGTGCCTAAACATAGGTGATTTTACAACCAAGAAATAGGAGGTCGTTAAAGAATTTTGAGGTTTATCAGCCGCAAAACTTGGAGCAGAAACAATTTTTCGAAAGTTTTTTCGAAAGTATCATTTACAATTGGTTTAGTGGCATCATCTTTATTCTCAAACAACTGTGTTGATCCAATCCAAGTCATGAAATATGTCCCATCTTTGGGAATTTCTCGTCATGGATCCAATCCATTCCAATGCATTCCACCAGGATTTCGGGGATTGGGGATACAGACTAATATGGCAGTGTGTCAAAACCTTGTACCCCTGTAGTTCACATCAAAATAGCTGGTAAATGGATGTTCATCCCACTAAAAATGGTATTAATAGGTATTGATCCATAGCCATATGATCGGGGGATTGGGATTGGAAAACCCTCGTCATTCGACTTTTTCTGGGAACATCGCTTGCGCGAACACGATGGAATGATGGTCAAAAAACCAGCTGTTTTCAAATCCGATTGAGATGTTCCCAACTGGATATAGGTCAAAACTGGATAGCCCAATAAAGCGAAAATCTGTGCTCCCTTCTGGCCACCTCCAACTATTCCCCAAGATTCCATGGTAAGTCATGAGTTCTGGGTAGCAATGATATAGATAATAGCCATTATTAACCATTATTAACCATTACTAACGTTTATTAAAACTTATTAGCATCTATTAACCATTATTAATCATTGCTGTCAATTATTTGCAGTTATTAACATCTATTAACCATTACATACCATTACTAGTTATTCTATCCCAAAAATCAACTTACTGGTGCTAAACGCAGGGAATGAGGGAATGATCCACTGGCTCACTAGTAATAATCTATCCCAATTATGAATAGTATAGTAAACTTACCAATTATGAACAGTTAGCAATATCAATATATCAATATATCAATAGTATAATGGTATATTGATATTAGTATAATTGATATACTAATAGGATATATTGATATTAGTATAATATTTATTTGCAATTACTAAATATCAATATATCCAATTTTTCACTACCTTCGACGCAAGAGGTGTCAGCTCTACGAGATCCACCTGGCCTTGAAGGCCTTCAGGGACGACTACGGCAAATACGAGCTGGAGGAGATCGCGACGTCTCCCAGACGATGACATTAATAATGTGAATATATAATTTATATGTATATGACATACTAGTATATATATATATATTTATACATACATAGAGTATATGTACTGATATATAGGTATACATATATATAATGCAACTCTCTCCCTCTCTCTCTCTCTATATATATATATTGTATGACTGATTATCCACTGATTAATAAGTCTATATATATATATATAACTGATATACCCCTGCCGAAGGGACACTGAAGTCTCTAGACCTGGTGGCTCACGCGGACTCAAGAGCGTGTGTGTTGGCATCAAGAGCACAGGTACTATCAACAAATCATCCCATTGTCAGCGTCAATGGAAAGGCAATCGCCATAATGCGTCCTGCATCGTCTTGCGATACCCGTGCAATGCACCTCTGACCAGATTTTTTCTGAGAAACTGTTGAACATCATCCACTTTTTGTGTATCGTAGATCCTAGGTGATGAACGTTCTTGCTGACAGTACAAACCATAGTGTAGTATCATCAGCTTAGTTAGTATCATCAACTTACTATCATCAACTATCATCAACTTTTGCTATCAGTACTATCAACTTCACTCAGCAGAATCTCACTTCCAACATCAGCAACGAAAACATCCGTTCCAGGAATGCACTTTCAGATCAGGCAGAGTCGTCCTTACAGTCATGAGGAATGTATGGATATGACTAGAAATGATTGAACACAAATTATACCTCAAAACTCATGGGGAAAAAGATGATTATATAAGCAGTATACGGTACCCTATTTTCAGACATTCCTATAGTTACAATATACTTGTGTTTTTGGGAATGGTTTCGTGGGTGCCAGAGCGTGTTCCAGATGCTGTGTGCCGGATTGATGGGTCTCTGTCTGGAAGTGTTTCCGTGCCACCTCTCGCTTTAGGTGAAACTTATTATTGTGGCATGAGTTCTTAGGTCACCTTCTGACAAAACTGACAAAGCCAGCATGCTCCATCATTTCATTCGGGATCATGTTCACAGTTCGCACGCCTGCACGCGACATTGCTTCAGTCCGTCAGTCCGATCTCATTCCAGGTTTGTCATTGTCAAGACCCATTTGAGCAGTGCCAAGTCTGCCAAGTTATACAATTTGGTCGATCAAAATTCAAGGGGTAATAGGTGGCCATACTACCTGGTTTTGCCGGGGATGACCAGTACTTCATGGGACTCAATCCCAATCAACCAGCATAGCACATTTGGGTTTCTCTGAGTCCACTGGCCAATCATCATTTTTCTCCCCACTCTCCCCACATTGCAACTTTGGGGGTATACCAGTGTACCCCACGAAATCAGAGAGAACCTCCCCACAAAATTTCTTCACGGCGACAAAAGTCACCATGCGAGGATGCAGCAGTGCAGAGCTTGAAGGCTCACTATCGAAAACAGCGCGGTGGCAAGCGAGAGACTGAGTGAGCTGATCATCGGGTCGTCCTCCCCAAAACCATACACAAACAGACTCTTGGGGCCAAACCTTGTCGGCGTCAACAGTTTGGAGCTAATTTAGGTTTGGTTTAGAGTCCGGATTTAATTTAGGGTTTGTTTAGGGAAGTTTAGATTTAGTTTAGGCTATTATAGATTTAGGGTTGAATTGTGTCTTATTTGGGTTTGGCCTAGGGTTAAGTAGGGTTGGTTTAGGGTTGGTTTTGGTTTAGGAAGAATTCGGGGCTGCCATAAACTGTTTCTATACATACTGCCTATAGCGTACCCTGCCTTACTCATGACTCCTGCCTTGCTCATTGCATACCTTCATGCTGCCACCTATACATGATTCAAAGCGTACTTATGCGTACCTAATTACAGTATATGTTACGCACCTTGTGTTTCTTCTATCTACTAGAAACAACAAAAACTCCCTCTTCACTCCGTACATACTATATACTTAACCGCCCATAGCTCAAACATTGCGCCTTCACAGCCTGTGTATAATATGTGTGTATATACAGGCATCTAATATTAATATATATATATATATAAATATATATATATATATAGATGTACACACATACTACCTACATTTTTCATAGCTCGTAGCGTGCTCATATACCCCTGTACACTCGGACGCCTCGAAGCCACGGCGGAACCATGGGAGGAAGAGGTGTGGGGTTGATCCCTGCTCAGATGTGTATATATATATATATTATATGTATATAGATATAAATAAGTAGTCCAGGCATAGATTGGATCATTTTTCTCCAATCTCTCAGCAATTCCTCATACTTTTGGGATATTCCAGGGTCCCCATGCTATCGCCTACCAGGTTGAGAGACGTGAAGCTGGACCGCTCAGTGGAAAAGGTTTGCAAGGACCCGGGCCTTACCTCCATTTTTTCCCACCAACAAAGGAATGGATTAACTCCAATCAACCAGGGTTATATATCCGGGGTTGACATTGCAAAGCTGGTGATTTACTTTTGGGGAACCATGCTTGGGTCTTTCAACTTGATCCAAATTGGTGGTGTTTGTCGGCTCAAGATCTGTTACAATGTAGTTTGCACCCAATCCGGACTTCGAAGAAAGGCGCACCCCAGACCAGCAGAGAGAATTTCGGCAAAGACGCCTTCACAGAACTGCCAGAATTTCGGACTGTGATGGACAGAACTGCCTTCATTTCAACATACCCTCTGGTAATTTAACATAGCTATTGGAACTGGCCATTTATAGTTGATTTACCCATGAAACATGGTGATTTTCCATAGTTACGTTAATTTACCAGAGGGTACTTCACATTGGTTCATCCCATCTCTCAACATGTTCCTGGCCATCATTCACCAACAAAATCCGGTTTCCCAAACCGGGAACCGGGCAACCGTGTCGTGCTGACACAACCTGGCCCCCCAACGGTCCATGTTGAAACTGCTGCTGTGGCTGTGCGGAGTCTGCGGAGCTCTTCAGCCATCCGAGCCATTAAAGGCTAGACTCTTGGCATCGAAAATAGGGATGGGTCGCCAATGGCCAGGACTAAACCGATGGACAATGATGTTGATGATGGGAAAATGATGGGAAAATGATGGGAAAATGATGGAACATGAAAGATAATGATGGTAACATTTTTGATAGCATATTGAACTCAACATCTTGTGGCTTTTGGATGATTTTGGGACTACCCGGCCAAGATTCTTGAGTCGTTTCATCAGCCCTGCTGACTTGGATCCTGGTGAGGGTTCTTCTTCTCCTTCCTTGGCGTTTCGAAACTTTCCTCATTACTACAGTCCCACATGAGACACTGGGGGATGGCCAAAAGTGATGGTTGAAAAATATGCCTCCCACATCCTCCCACAGTATTTATTGTCGTATTCATTCAAGGAAGCATTTGCAGAGTTTACCCCTGCATTTGATGAGAGAGTCATTGCCAAACGTGCGGATCTTGCCTCAAAATCAAAAGTTTGGCTTGCGGATCTTAAACTTCAGTATTTCAATGTATTTCAAGTCCAACAGAAACCATCAATAAGCCTCAAAAACCATTAAAAACAAGTCAACAAACCATCAACAATTATGTACCCTGTTGCAATTTAAGAGAGCAACTGAAAATCACAATGAAGTTAAAAGCGATAAATCAAATCCTTGAACTAAATGGGCCATGGCTTCCATCATGTTCCATTTAGTTTAGGGCATTAACACAAAACAAATCCGCTGATGTTCCATGAATGTTTCATTCATATTCTACTATATCCCCATTATATCCTCATTTAGAGGATGGTTTTCCGATTAAAACCTTCATTCCGTTCGCTGATTTATATTCATTTCCCATTCATATATCCCTGCTATGGTTGGTTACAAATCTCCGTTTTCCTTGGTAAATCCCTTGCTTCGCCCCATTAAATCCAGTAATATTCCGTGAATAATATATATATATATACATAAATAATATAATATATATATATATATGTATATAAGTATATGTATATAAGTACATATATATATGTATATATATATATGTATGTATATATATGTAAATATATATATATATGTATTCCATTCATATTCCATTCATATTCCATGATATCCCTATAGCCCCAGTATGGTTGCTTATAAATCCCATGATTTTCCATACTGTGTTCATCCCATTAAATCCAGCGAGGACGTGCCATTGCGCTCCTGGCCTCAGCCTCCGCGCGGGAAGCGCAACTGGATGCCACGGATCAGGTTTTCTGGCAGCGACTTCAACGCTGTGAGCCTGGAAAGGACGAAAATCCCATGGGGATACCACGGATGATCTGGGTGTATAGTGTATGAATGATGAATCTCTGGCTTGTTTATGATATAATTATGAATTATGTAGAAAAATCTCTTAAGCCCCAGAAGCGTGAAATCCTACTAAGATAGCGATCAAATCTTTTTTTGGATACCTTTTTTTGGGTTATAGTCTTACCTATTCTTGATATATATATATAGATATGTATATATATATATATACACATAAATAACCAACAATATACCGTCAAGCATCTGGGGATATTATGGGATTTATGGGTTTTCAAGCAGCAATTGTGAAGTCAAACCAAGTTCTCGAATCTCCAATCAGTTGGACCTTCGAGCTCCAATCCATTTTGGGGCTTGACCCCAAGGGGCTTCGTGCGAAAAGAGAGGGATCAATAGGGATCTATGCGGCAATTTATGGCTACTAAAGATTGGGAGAATGATGATGAACTGTGAGACTTTGTGGCACAGTATTTTCAAAGAAAACCATATTGCTGTTGGTCGGCTCACCCTCAAAAACGTGTGTTTTTACATCAAAAACCATGGCTGGTAGTGATGTTCATGGCCATGGGTCGAGAAGAACCACCCCAAAATTGAGCAAATTGCCATCCGGTGAACTCTGGCAACATCTGGCAACATGTTGACGGTCTGAGTATCGGGTACCAATAAGCAAGGTTTTTGACCAAAGCGATTTTCCACATGTTGGGCGGTTCAGCATCATTTTCACATAGTGAAATAGTGGTTGACCCAAGAATGGTGATGTTTGGGAATGAATACATAGGAATACCAGAACCCCTGAAGGATTGCGAAATTGAAAGACGAGTACAATCGATCTCGAGACTTCGGTACGACTTGTGAGTTCGGAAGCCCTTTTTGTTTGTCAATTTTTCCTCCTGGGAAAGTTTCTCGGATTTTTTTTTCACAGATTCAGATGTTTTTGGTAGACGTGGTTGGCATGACGAGGAACGGCTTTGCAGATTTTGGAGGCACAAACTTTGAAGCGAGCCACTTCTGCTTTGGAGGATGCTCGTCCCCAAGGTCTGCAATCTCCACGGCCCTTCCTGTCTGTATGGAGTGAGGCAAATCTGCGAAAATCTCTGCTGGCAATGTCCCTCGTTGGCTTAGCAGTCGTGGTCCTTTGGGCAAGGTGCTTTGGTCGCATGGTGAATTTTATGTTTTACCCTCTGGTAAACTAACATAGCCATGGAAAATGCACTATAAATGGCAATTTTCAATAGCTATGTTAGTTTACCAGAGGGTAGTTGCAGGCCCTGCAATCGGCTTCTTGAAGTGCAAGCCGCATGCCCCGTAACGTATGAAAAACGTCCCGTCAAAGATGGGTGATTTGAAGCATCGCCCAGAACAGATGTGTGTTTGCGTGAATTTTGGGGACCCCAAGTTATTATCCAAGTTGGTGCATTATTTATGATATGATGTTCTATAGCTATATTCTATATATTCTATCTGTCTTCTACATATCTTCTTTATGTATTCTTTATGTTTTCTATATCTATTCTATATGTATTAATATAATATAACATATTATGTCATTTTTATATTATATTTTGTCTTATCATATCATTCTATTATATTTCTTTTATCATATTATACTTTACTACATTACATTATGCTATATTATATTATACTATAGTATATTATATGTATATTTATATATTATATATTTATATTAATCTTATATTATATAATACAATGTCATATAATACAATACAATACAAAATACTGTACTATACTATAATATGATATGATATGATACAATACAAATACAATACAATACAATACAATATAACATAATCATTTAATATAATATAATATAATATAATATGATATGATATGATATAATATAATATAATATTATGATATAATATAATGATATAATATGATATAATATATAATATAATATAATGATATAATATAATATAATAAAATAAAATATAATATAATGCAATGTAATGTAATGTAATGTAATATATAATATAATATAATATAATATAATATATAACATAACATAACATAATATAATATAATATAATAAAATATAATATAATACAATTTATAATATAATACAATATAATATAATACAATATAATATGATATGATATGATATGATATGATATGATATATGATACAATGTGATATGATATATAATATAATATGATATGATATATGATATATGATATATGATATGATATGATATTATATTATATTATATAACATTTTCTATATTATATTATATAGTTTACATACATATTTCAGGGGGTTTTCCCAGTGAAAAGGGTTCATCCCAGGGCCACCTCGGCTCTAGGTGGGGTCCCTCCAGATGGAGCTCCAAGACTGAACGAAGTCTCCTGCAGAGTGCCTTCGCCCTATAGGGAATGTCATTGGCCCAAGAGTGCTGGGCTTGTTCCAACCAAATTTGATGTGAATCACCAATTCTTAGGGAGGCAAACATGGGTCATTTTATGTCCTGATTTTGCAGATTCAGCAGATTCACTCACTTTTCCGCGTGTCTCTGGGGTGTTAGAAGCAGCACTGTTGTGGTGCGTGAAGCATCCGGCTCTGTTCGCCAGTGGAAAAAGGTGTGAAAGGATGCGGAATTTTAGGTTGAGTAGAATGACAGCGAAAGCATGCGAAACACAATTTTCATCTACACTTTATCGTAAGTGTTTGCATTTTCATACGCGATTTTCACATAAGGGTTCCCTGTCGTTTGTTTTGTAGGACATTGCTGATTCTCTGCAGAAAGTGGTGAGCGGCTCTGTTTCGCGCCAGCATCAAACTGAGACGGGGCCCCAGCAGCACGGCTGACTGTCATGCCACAGGATCTAAGTGCTACGATTTTGCGATTGTACTGAAATAAGGGTTTCTTAAAATGGGGATCCCCAAGTCACCATGGGTTTTAATACCAAGATGGTCTAATTTGGATAATTTGGGTGTATACCCCATTTTTAGACACACCCAAGTAACTAGCCATGGTGCCGAGTATGAGGTGATGCCCCTTATTGGCAACGTGTAATTTTTTGCTAACTAACTATGGTGTTTGACAGGTTAAATGTTCGAACCAGTCAACTAGTTGATGGTGTTTGCAAACCAACTTTAACTGGGGGGCACCACAGCAACTCGCGTCGCGTGGCCACTGGAAGCTGTGTATATCTTGCTGATGGATATGGGTAGTAGATGAGACTTTTCTCCACCGAATATATGCAATACAGCAATATTACATTGTCAAATCCAAAGTCTGGCTTGATAATGCTGTCCAAAATGCTGTGGTTCTGACGAAAATCTGGATTAAACCCAATGTTGGAGTGTTGAAGACTGAGCAAAATCGCCTGGCCCTTGGGTTACTAAGCCACCTTGAGGCTTGGTATGGCCGTTGATATCGCGGTCAACAAGAAGGGCAACAAACCCATCGTGTTTATTGAGGCCAGCATGGGTTTCAGGGAAACATTGTTTTGCCCCCACTTTTTTGGATGGACACACACTTCTGAATTTCCACGGGTTTCCTGCAGAACCGTTTTCATATCAAGACTTGGATGATTTAGTTCTCCAAGCACCAGAAAATTCATTTGATGAAGGTATGTTCCCGAAAAAGGCATAAATCAATGATGTCAAATGATGTCAATTTGTGTTTTCTTTGGATCTTGGCTTCAACCAGGTAGATGGCTCTCACTCTTTAATGAGAACGCTGAGCTCTTAGATCGCACGGCTTCGTTTGAGGACGCAAACAG